CCAGTGGTTTGATGCAAAACTGTTAACTTCAGCATACAGGTGGTAATGTAGATTTTCCTTCCTTTCCCATGGAAATAAGAGACACTAGAAGACTGTTTTTGCCACCAAACCCATCTTCCTTCATGCAGGACAGTTTGGTTTTTGGTTTTGGTTAGTCCCTGCACCTTCCCCCCTCCCCCACTGAGTTCTAGAGACTCTAAATGATGAACAGTGATGAAGTACAGTTAGAGGAAAAAAAAAAAAAGAATTTTTTTGAAGCTTCCATAAACTGGGATCTTGCTTTACTTTGTCAGAGAATGTGTACAACTGAACTACTGGATACCTGTTCTGTACACTTCCTGACACTGGGCAAGTCACCTCTAGGTCTTCTCTTTAAGGAGCTGAGTAAATTCTGTTCCTTAATTTCTGTGTTACGAGCTTTGATATTAAGCTTCCAAAGTTTTTGTCTTCTGGAATATTTCCCTCTCAATTGAACTCTGTCTGCTGTTTGCACTTTTTTTTTTTAAAATGTGGAAAACAAGTCTTGTCAGAGTAATCTCACAGTAGTCTTGCCAATAGTTTAGATTGCAAGATAACTTAATTCTGTGTATTGCTCCCCATTGCAATAGTGCTTCTGCCAAAGCATGATACAGAAGGATCATGCTGAAATGATTATCTGTGACAACTTCTAAATCCTTCTCAAAGGCACTGCTTGCCAAGATAGTTTCTTATCCTATACATACTGCCTGCGTTATTTGTCCCCACATTAATTGCTTGCATTTGGCTGTGTTAAAATGTTTTTCTGACAAGTGATTTATCAAGCTGTTATTACTATCCCCACCAATTTTTGTCTTGTCCACAAACTGTACTAGCAAAGCTACATCACTCTCTAAAGATCATTGATGCGAACAAATAGAATTGAAACTGATTCCTGCTAGAAATGAGTCTGTCTTCTGATGTCTTCGTATCAACAATTACAGCTGAGATCTGTCAGAAGGCCTGTCTTAATCTGTCCAGCTGCTTCGCCTAATGTATATTTGTCAAGAAAGATATCGTGTGGTGGGAAGTTAAATGCACCGAAAAAATCCAAGCATAATGTATCACTTTATCTAGAAGTCCCATAATACTCTAAAATAAAGCAAAGCTGGCAATTAGGCAGACTAAAACAGTTTTTCATGAAACTATAATAAATTATTCTAGTGATACTTTTCCTTCTACTTCTCTGTTGTTTTTGCATAGCATTTTTTCCAGGATTGCTGCAGGGATGAGGTGTTCTTTCAAAAATCCACCCCTCTGAGATATTTCTGAATGTCAGAATTGTTTTAAGTTGTCTTCAACTAAATGAAAAAGAGCTAGTACTAACAGTTCAGCACTTGCAGATCGTGACGGTGCCCATTGATGTAAATAGCAGGCCTGCAGAGTTACAAATACGTACGTGACGCAGTGGTGGTTTACTTGTTGGAACAAAGTTTAACAGACTGTGATCATTGCGGTGATCCAAACTTAATTTTTTAAGTATGCTATCTGCCACTCTTCCTGCTGCTTCCCCATATGGAATTACTGTGAATAGCTGCAAAGAGCATAAAGTAACAGTCTTTGTACATAAATTTCAGTAAAAGTTATAACGTATGTTAATTAGATTGTGCACCCGTTGCTGTAACAAGGCACGCCCTTTGGCGTTTCTTTGCCGTTTTTTGAACATTCCCTACATAATGCAGGACAGACTGACTTCAGTGTTCTTCTGAAGATCAATAGATTTTTTCTGAAGTTGTTGTTATACATAAAATTCCTGCCAAACATATGGAAATGTAGGAACCAACTGCCTCATCTGGTTTACTGCCCAGTTTTCGACACTGTCAGCAGGAGACCTTCCAGAGGAAGTTCAGGGGAAACCCTGGTGGATAATTATGGGAAAACTCATTCTATTACTGATACTTTGCTTATTTAGTAAGGCACCATAAATTGTGTTTAGCCTCACACACATACAAGAAACTATTAATATTGTTCTGATTTAATTAACTGTTAAAGCAAAGCTATTCTCAACAGCCTGTATTGTGTTAATAATGACCCCTTCCATAATTGTTTTGTTTTTCTTTTTTTCCTGCACACCTCCTGCCTGACACGTTGCTGTATCCAAGGAGACATAATTTTCTGCTGAGTTTTTGTGAGTGCTCGGCTTGGCAGGCTGGCTGCACAGCACAAGTGCTGGGGCCATAAAGACTGGGGCTAGCGGAGCAGGACAGTTTTGTCCTGACTACACTACCTCTCATTAGTGCTTGAACAGCAAGGCAGGACTGTGCCAGGACAGTCAATTTGAGCTTGAACTATCCCCTAAACTAAGCTAGATGTTTTGGTGGTTGGGAGTCACCCAGTACTACAATTCTGATGTGTTACTCAATAATATTTGGAAAAATACTGGAACAGGAAAGAAAGAAGGGAGAGATGTACAAAGTCCTGTTTCTGTGATTCCAGAAAAAATTAAAAGTAATTTAATTTTAGTAGTCTTTCTGGAAAGCCAGCTTTTTCTCTCAGACATGTACCAATGGCACTTGGTGATACTGAAATGCTGCTAAAGAACATTTCCCCTAATGATTATCACCTTAATTAGGCAAAGATGAAGTGTTGTTCCTACCAATAAAATACGATACAATAGGATAGTCTTATTATTCCTAGCCACAATTCCCACATAGCCAGCTGAACACTGCATTGTCGTCTCCTTAGGATGGTCCATCACTTTCATGATGAGGTTCCCCCAAATTTTTGTGTGACGGCAATAATATGCTCTGTTAGTCATATATGGGAATCTGTAGGAACACTTAAAAATGAAATCAGAAAATGGATTATAAATCACACTTATTTTTAATTGTAATGATATTTAAGGATCTGACACATTTTTTGAGGCTGGCAATGTTGTACCTGTAATAGTGATACAGCACAATGGTAAGCATAAGTTTCAGTTGACTCTGTTGTTGATGCACCCTAAAAAGTGGGGCTGAGTTTCCTAGAGGGTCAAGTTTTTAACCCTGGAAGGACAAAATAGATTCTCGGAGTATCAAAACTTGAAAAGAATGGAAAGAAACAGAAGAACAAGCTGTCAATGGTCTGAGAACTTTTCAGTCAAATAATTTTGTTCCAAAGTTACCTCCAAAGTCTTCTTCCAATAGATGAACAATTTCTTCTAATCCCTAAGCGCTATTTATAGTGTATAATAAACACATATATCGCCATCAGGGGATGCTGGAAGCCTACAGTCCTGCTTTAAGCTGGAGCTTTATATTTGAACTTTCGACTGAGTCCAGAGCAAAACATTTATAGATTCTTTGAGGAGTGCCAGATGAATTACAAATGGAAATTATTTTGAAAAAACCCTAACAAACTAATACACTGATACCACTTAGAATGACACATGTTTTTCTTCAGTGTTACGCAGTGGGGTAGAGTTGGACCCCATCTTCCCCTAGATGCCATTTGGGGGCATGTGAGAGCTGCGTACGTAATGCATTGCAAGGAGCCAAGCGGGATTTCAGCAGTGTGCCTCTGATGTACTGGCACCATCAGCTGCCTAGATCGTATCTAAAGTATTTCTGCATTTCTCGGAACTGCATTCTCTGCCTCAGTTACTTGGAAAGATGCACTTATTTAATATGAGTTTCCTTGTACGTGAACTCTATTAATTATTCTGCACATATTCGACCAGGAATAATGTCACGCTTCCATGAAAGCACTGCACAAATTCTGAATTTTTAAAATGCACAGTTGGTGATCTTTCTTCCAACACTGTGACGTGCACATTCACAAGGAAATGAGAATCCGAGCATACTAACATTACAGTGACATCGTGACAACTCCTTAGGTAAGGTGTTTAATCACATTGAATAAACCTTCAGCTGATATTAGTACTAAAAGGAGATCAAAATGACTAGCTTTCCTTTATAAATGCAAGTATTTAAGTCACAAGATAGCTGCTAATGTTCGAAAGCAAGATGTTAAAATGCAGTGACACGATATAGACAGTATGTTCTTAAACAGGCAGTAAATAAAGTCACTCGGATATCCCATCTGGACATTAACCATATGACATTGCCAGGAGCAACTTCTTAGTTCACTAACATCGGATAGAACAGATGTTGCGACTGGAGGAATTCTTTCCACCGCTCTGCACCTCGGAGCAGAAGGGTGTGATGTACCGTGGGGACTGTACCTTCCGCACCTTCTTATGCAACATTTTCCCCAGCACTTTTTTTCTGGGGAAAAAACAAAAAAACCCAGGAAATAATTAGGAAATAAAGCATGTTCATTAAAACCAAGATACTGTTAGTCTAGAAGTGCTATATTTTGGTTAGGAAATCATTAAAATTCTTTCATAATCTAAGTTTGAGGAGTATTTCCTTTTAAATACTGCTAAACATTTAGAAAAAAAGGGATCCTATTGTGGAAGATTTTGTAGCCAGTTCTCTTGAACACTAAGTATTGAAGAACTGTGTGCTAGATTCTGACTCTCTTTTTTGCAGATGGCCCTGTGTCTGTTGGAATGAGTCTGGATATTGCAAGCATTGATACAATATCAGAAATAAATATGGTATTGTCGCTTTTGCAGTCTTTTTTGTTTTGCCTGTTTATAAGCTAATGTGTTTACAGCTGCTGGCAATGTGACTTTGAGGTTTTTATGCTTGTTCAGTTAATGTGTGTTAGGACGTGAAATTTTATTTTTCACTACAGGTAGTGGTTATAGCACTATAGTAAGTGCAGAAATGCAGATGCAAATGACACCAGTCGTAGGTACAAACAGAAATTTGCTACTGAGTATTAATCTTAATGAAAGGCATGTGGAGCAGTATTTATTTTCCAGATGAAAAGTCAAAATCTGTATGCATTTCAGAAAATTAAAGATACATTCATGTGACTTTGAAGCCACTCCCTTTCCTTGTGATTAGACACAGCTGAACTCGTATTGTTTTTCTCTTTCACTGTTACTGTCAAACATTAATTTACTCCAGCTGTGCTTCATGACATTTGTATACTTTAGTTTTGAACAAACCATGAAATGGAGTGTACTTTTCTAATTAAAGATGCTCCATTGGTACATAGAAATAAAAGGCAAAATTCCTTAATCAGATATTAGAAAATGTGTTTTATATATATATAAGGGTGTGTGTATCTCTCTCTCTAAATGTACCTCACCATTTCATGACTCAGGCTTCCAGAGAAGTTGAATATTAGTATTCCTCTGTACTTAGTAAGTATTCACAGGTATTTAGAAAGGGGGAAGTAAGGTCAAAACTTCAGGTGAATGTATCATAAAACACACCATCAGTTCAAAAGTTGATTAAAAAGGTGCTAAAAAATAGTATGAATTTAATGTAAGACTACAAGACGTATCTGAATTGGAGGAGAAGGCTATATTCAAGGTCTCGATAAATTTGGCACCACAGTTTCCCTTGTGATGCTGAAAGGATAAATCATGCTAAAAGATGATGATTCCCTTCCTATTTCACTGATTTATTTTGTCCTTTTGTCTGTCTGAATTTATAAAACTTTTTCCAAAGTTTTCTGAAGAAATGCATTCTTTAGTAGTTTATGTGAACAGAATGATGTTTGCAAGAACTTAAATAAATCAATCTAAAATTTAAAGATTTACAGAGCCAGATTATCTGCTTACAAAACTCGTATGACTTCAGCTGATTTACAGCCCCAGACTTAGGCCAGCAGCTTTTACTGTCACATTCCAATGACTTCAAGAACAAAATCTGCTCAAGATAATATTTTAGCGATGTCAACCTCACATCAAGTGCTGGAATATTTGGTGGTACAAGAGCCAGTACAACTGCTATCGGAGTGCCAGCTTTTAAGGGTGGAATATGGAGAGTCACAGGCTATTTGTGCCCAGCAGCTGCTCCATTATACGTTTGTAAAACAGAGTGTAATACAGCCTTGCTTTCTGTGATAACTTGGTTTTTTCACTTTCAGGACTACACAGCTACCATATTTCTAAGGCAGCGATGGACTGATGAGAGACTTTGTTTCAATGGTAATAAGAGTTTAAGCTTAGATGGTCGGCTTGTGGAAATGCTTTGGGTACCGGATACCTTCATAGTTGATTCAAAAAAGTCTTTTCTTCATGATATCACTGTTGAGAATCGTCTTATAAGAATATACCCTAACGGAACAGTCTTGTATGCTCTGCGGTATGTATATACCACACACCCGCCTTTATATTTGGCTTCTACTTACATTTTAAACTTTGCAGGTTAGCATAATTTTATGCTTAAGAAACTGATCTGTTTGTAAAAGTAGAATATGCATGGTCTTGTAGTTTTACAAATACGTAATAGTAATAATTAGTATGATTAAATTACTAAGTTTAATGATAGGTCTCATTTTCTTCCCTAAATAGATCTTTTGCTAGTACCAGAACTGCATTTTGCCATTCCAGTTGTTTTGCAATGACATCATCACAGAGGAAAGCAAACCGTAATGATTGATTTACATTACCTATTGCAGATTATTCTTTGTAACAGATTTTGTTAAAAGAACAAATTTGTAAAAAAGTATTCCAAAATATCAACAAAGGAAAATGCATGCTGTAAGGGAAGCAAGGGGTGGCCATTTTAGACTGCCACTGAACTCAGCTGTTCTGGAGGGGTTTCCTCTTTTGGATGCTATTACTCTTCCATATTAGATACCAGTAAGTATTAGATTTTTTTTTCGCCCCACCTCATAATAGATATTTCCTGGTAAATATTAGTTCAAGAAGTACAAAGGGCTTATTTTTATTTTTACTGATGAACAATTTTATCCCATTATCTCTTTTTTTTTCCCCAAGGATCACCACAACTGTTGCATGCAGCATGGATCTGACCAAATATCCGATGGATAAGCAGACGTGTACTTTGCAACTGGAAAGCTGTAAGACACTTAATCCTTATTATTTTTATACAATTAGAAAAATATCTGTGATCTTTTCCAAGGGCTACTGGATATTATTATCAAAGAGGCTAGAATTTTCAAAGAAGCCAAGGGACATTATGTGACCAGTCCCTGTTGAATTCCAGTAGTATCTATATACAAAGATAAATGCATAAGGCTCCACTGAATCTAGCATGTCAGTACTGAAATGCTGCCATACTATTAATGATTAAGCAAAAGCTCAGGAGATTAGCATAGGCTTGGTTTTGCAGCATATGCTGTAGTTATTCTGTTGATCTTCAGGGGGAGTTCTGTGAGCACTGAGACTTTTTCCAGCAGAGCCAAGAAATTTTTTTTTTTCTCTTTCAAATAGTATGTATATTTTTTCCAGAGGCACAATTCCTTTAGAAAAGAAAGAAATTAAAATAAGGCTTATTTATAATGCATAGAGTTCATATTTAATTAGTTTACTCTTTTACTAGGAAAAAAAGGTAATTACATAGACAATTCTGTTCTGAGATGGATATATGCAGATCCTTCCATGGCTTATTTAATTGTCTTTGTGCCAGTGTCCTGGGAAAAATTATCATCAATTGATGGATCAAGACTAAATATACTTTTATAGGTTCTCACTTTATCAATGTCCTCATAATTTTCATTAAAATATGCTCTCTAATACTTTGTAGACATGGTTGCTTTGCAAATACCCAAATGTGCATGTTTATAGTTAACTTTTTGCTATTATTCATACGATAAGACTCTATCAAAATATTTTTGCATGGGAGAACGTAAAAGGATAGGCAGTCCTGTAAGATGTAAATATATGCTCAAATATGTTTCAATACAAATTCAAAACCTTTTGGAAGGTTTTTCAGTAATTGGCAAGTTTTATTCTTTACCATTTCAGAAGTGTGTGGGTGTTCTTTATCTTTTGTTAGTAATGATCACTGCAGTTAGAAGATCACTGCAAAATTTCCTTTTAGACAGAAACACAAAGGAAATAAACCCAAAAACCTTCCTCCAGCAGGGCTCCCTCTAGAATCAGCAGTTATATAAGATCTTTTTAACAAGTATTGATTAGAATTAGAATTTAGATTTATCTCTAAATTATTTTCCTTTGGAAGAACGTACTGGTGAATCCGTGCATATGGAATTATATCAACTGCATTGCCTAATGAGTCATTTAATATTTTCTCTAGTTCAGGAATGAAATGTGTGTTCCACAGGAACCTGAAATTTATTTGACAGGATGAAAAAAAAGGAGAATTCCCTATATAATTAAAAATAATCATTTTTCAGAATGATTCCATCTGCTTTTTCAACAACACACAAGTGTCTCCTGTCCAAGGGGAAAACATAGTAATGTTTTCACATTTTTTGGTGCAATTTAATACTTTCTTTTGCGTATGCTGGAACTGGTGTTTGCACCCTCATGAGATAGGCTACGTCAATTTATAGATGAATAATGACATCATCCCAGAATACTTCTTGAAAGTACCATTTCCTGGAATTAAGAATTGTGAATGGAAGCATACGTACACATCCACACAAATACATTTATATGACATTGATAAATAAAATGTAAATTATATAGCAAATATTTGAGCTGAAACAAGGTGTTAAGCCTTTCCTTCAGTGATTACGAATGTAAAGACAAACATGACATGATATTATCAAGTAATGGCTTTATACAATAAAGCATCCCTAGTGGCCTTTACAATGTGCTATTCTGCTATTAGTAGTTAATAACATTTAGTGACTTATACTTTCTACACAGCAAAACACAATTCAGCCAAAATGTCTATTGTTTTTTTCCCCTGTTACTGCAACACTTTAGAAGGTAGTACAGGCATACATTAGGAGACAGAGGTGGCACTTGGAGTCTCTGTTCATATGGTAGATGTGACATTTGGGGACTTGGAGGGCTCCTGTCTCGGTTGGTGCTGCTGGGGGGTTCATGCTCTCTGCTGTGCGGCTGGGGACACCACCATTCATTCACACTGGGCTGAAGGCTTTTTTCCTCATTTTTTTCCTCCACACAGGCCTGCAGTCCAAATACATATTCATATTTTGGGCCGATCTCTGAAATTTTATTTCCTATTTAAACTTGTCCTTTAGGATTTATTCAGTGAAGAGCCATGTGAAGGCACTTAACTTGTGCTTGACAATCAGGGGAAATTAAAATTAGCAACAGAAGGGTAAAGAAACTCATTTGTATTAGGCATTATGAATGTTTAATCCGAAATTTACTATTCCTGTGGTTAACCCTGTTGACATCAGCTGCTCGTACTGTATCAATGAAGTACAGAAATGAGATATTATGGGCTTGAGGAATTAGTTAGAATGAAAACTCAGTGTCATGTAAAGAGAATAGAGATTACTTGTAGAAGCCAAATAACATGGCTTAAGGATTTTGTCTCTATAAACTTTTAAAACATTTTATAATTAGTAAAATATTAATCCCCTGAATAAAGAAGGGTGAGCACTGTGCTGTTTAACTTTACTGACTATTGGGAAGATTCTCTTCATGAAAATTCTTCACAAGTAAGAGATTTGGAATTAGTATTTTCAAAGAATTTTCATAGGAAGGATCACCAAAACCTGTTAATTGTTCAGCTAATGAAAATACTGATTCTATTAAAGCCAAACAATCTCCATTTGAAACTATGCTTGTTATCACCCATCCAGGCATCAAGAGTTTCTCCCATCTCGCATAGCTTGGAAGACTCAATATCTTGTGAAAAATAAATAAGAATTTACTGTGGTGCTTTCCAGTTATTTGGACTTTATTTAAATATCTGCAGTTCGTTTGTACTGAAAGGAAGTAAAATGAATCCATGCTTGGAGTCATGCATAAAAACTGCTTCTACGAACATCTTTGTTTGACTGAGGACAATGCAATCGTTTGTTTATAGGAAATGTTACTTTTATTTTTAATCTCCCAAATCTGGGAAATTTCCCAGTGTGTAGTTTTGGGGAATCAAGAATTTAGCTTGGACATGCATGCTTTTGGCTTAGTCTTTTGACACAGCAGTGTTTTGGCTTTAATTGCTATAAACGTGATAATGTGAGCAGAGATTCCTGATTATGGTACCTTTTCAGAAAACTGCCAGTGATATTGAAAACAAGATTTACATTTAAAGAATGTTCATGGAAAGACGTTCCAGGTGAAATAGTCCTTTTAATTGGTAACCAGCACAGTGTTTCCTTGACATGAAATTTCTAAACTCCTGTTTTTCCTACATTAAGTGTATGTAGGAAATATATTATTTTTTGTCATTGCAAGAACCAAAGCCATTAATGTAAAAATATTGAAATGCTCTTTTTTATTTTAATGCATGTTTTTTTCTGTGATTCTAGACCTTTATTCTTTTTGCAACATATACCCTTGTGCAACTTAGTGCGTTATTTTCTCACACAGTAATTTGCTTACAATTGACTGGAGTCTAAAAATAACCATCTGCTCGTGTTTCTGTCCGCTAAGCTTAGCTATTAACTTGCACAATATAAGTCTGTCAAATACAAAAATGATTGATCTAAGTAAGCTAAAGGAAAAGATGTTCAAATGCTCCCTGTTAACGTGTAAATTACATTAACATAATCTTGAATTAATCATATACACTAGTCTGAAAATTGCCTGCCTTTTAATATAATGGGAAGAAAGCTACAGAGGTATTTTATCTATGATTGCACCGCATATTGATAAGTGTGTGCAAAATAGAGTTGCCTTTTGACAGATGATTCACGTCCTGTCTCAGCTCCTAATTACTACTTGAAGGTTAAGAGGAAGTCTCCTGGGGCCCCTGAAGTGTGTCATGCTGTTGAGCCTACAGAAACATCAGCATCTAAGCTGGTGTCCTTGGGAAGCGTCCAAGCTCCTAAGCCGAAGTGTCGTCCCAAGTGACGACCCGAGCCCAGCTCAGAGCACAGCGCCAGCACACAGCAGCCCTGCTGCTCTCCTCACCGCTTCATTTCTGTGGGAACGAGGACCAAATGCACTGCGTCGAGAAACAGCAGTCTGGGATGCAACAAAGGGCACATATAATGTGTAGTCCAAATGCTGGCAGCGCTGTAATTCATAGAAACTTTTATTTCTTGAAAGCTTAATAGCTTTTGCCTTTAGAATACCATGTGGTACTAATCTCTTTTATTAGTTTATGTCATCTATACTAGAATAAAACATATAAAAAAGACCACCTCCAAAAAAGTCAGCTTTTAAATTGTAAGACTTCGCATGTTATTGGGAGCTTTGTTGCGAGCAAGCATTATGTTCTGCCAAAACCCGTCATTGTTTATGTCTAATTGTACTTACAGACAGACGAATAAGAAACAGCTGAACCATAAGTGGGCTCAACACAAATTAATTATTGTGTAAAATAAACACTTTTGTTGGCTTGTGTATCACTACAGGGGGTTATAACATCAACGATGTCATGTTTTACTGGACTAGAGGAAATGATTCAGTTAGAGGTCTGGACGCACTACGACTGGCACAATATACAGTAGAAGACCACTTTACCTCTGTATCCGAAGCGGTCTATGAGACAGGTAAAAACACCCTTCTAACACTTTGTAGGTACAGTTTGGAATATGACTCTGGAAACAGAACAGCGTTAAGGAACTGAGCACATTGCTTTCTCTTAGGATGACAGTTTTCATGTTCTGCTATATAACGTTCTTGAAACCGTACATACTTTTCCAGACGTTACCAGCAGAGAGCCAGCTAATGTAAAGATTGAGAGTTTCTGAGCACTTTCTTGGAGGCTACGCGTTATCTAAAGAATGATAAACAAGAGACGTACTACTTCTTCCACATAATGTCAGGGAGAGCTCTTGTGATGTAAGAAGAGCCTGCAAGATGGGCATTTAAATTGGAGAGAGACTAGGGACCCTGGGTACCCAGCTCAGAACCTTTCCCAGCCTTCCTGGAAATAGCCACTCCGTCTTTATTAGGCAAGTCAAAAGCCTGTGTTCTGCCATGAAAAGTTCTGTGAAAATGCTGGGTGCTTTCACAGCTGCAAGAAGTTGGGTTTCATGGTTAAGGCTTGTCAGAGTTGCTCTTTACCTATGGCAGACCCTGTCCAGCCTGGTGGGCAACAGAGCGCAGTTTGCCCAGCCTGAGGTTCCTCTGCCTGGGGAAGGGTCAGAAGCATTTCCACAGACCTGCTCTTCTGCTGATCTTAGGAAACTGCTGTGGAAAGATTCCTCTGATTGCAGGACTTTACCTCAAGAAAAATTCTGCTCCTATTTATTTTCCAGAGATTTCAAAAGGGCTTTCAAAGAGTTCAAGACCTGCCAAACTTGCTTTATGCTCTTTGAGTTATTCATAGGTCCTTCACTGCTGTTCTTCACTGTGTACTCAGTTTCTCTTCTGCTCAAGTCAACTTGCCATCTGAAAGAGTGATCTTTAAATGAAGACACATACAGCTTTGAAGGCTTTGCAGGCAAAGCTGTAGTTTCACCAGAGGATAGGTTACTAATTCTGAATCAGAGAAATGTAGTTTCTCTATTCCATTGTTGGGCATTTCTGCTTTAATAATTCAATGCAGAGAAACTTTATACTCTAATTTCAGGTGTTAATTCAGGGTAACAGTCAAAGTTCTTTAAATAGATATAAAAGTAGAAATGAAATACATGCTAGCAGGCTCCAGGATCACACAGTGTCTTGCTACTTACATAAGTGACATCTGCTTGCCTTCCTTCTCTTTACAGCTTCTGGGTAAGCAACATCAGGTTCAATCAAAGGAGAATAATCCTTTATGGCTGTTCTGCCCAGAAGGGTACTAGGACCTGTTCACCATACAGGAAAGAGGAAGAGGAAACCTGCCTAATACCACCTTCTATCATAGAGTCCAGACTCAAAAGCCAAAAAAAGTTCTATTATTTTTTTACCAAATGGAATAAAACTAATTTCCAATTATAACTGAAGAGGTACGATCAGATGAACTGTGCTCTTCTTTTCAGTAAATGATGCTGTACTCTTCCGTTTATGTTGGCATTAATCATGTGTATAAAGTCAAAAGCCACTTTTTCTTTTAATTATACATTATAACACATGCAACTTAAATTTGATTAAAGTTTCCCACACCTGCTTGTTTCAATTCTCTTGTTCAAGAAAGCCACGTTATCAAGTGCTATGCGGTACTTTTAAAATGGAATCTCATCATCCTCTTAATTTGCTGTTGAGTCATTATGAATTAGGTGCTGTTTTCTACAGATTTTTTTTTTTGGAAAGCAGTGCCTACTGTAGCCCATATTAAAAGAAAAAAACAACCAGATTATGGAACTGTATAATCAATTTAGAAATGAAAAATGATGCTTTGCATTTCCTTAACACCATTAATAGATATCTGAGAGTAATTTATAAATAACAGTTACATTATAAATAACAGTTATTCACAAGGCTAAAGCTAAAGATATGAGAGAAGAGCTGTGTGTAGTATTTTCTAACACAGCAAAAAAAGCAATCAGGATTTTACACTCTGTGAACTTGAATAGCCAGTACAGCTGCTGTGCAAGTGAAATATCGTACAACAATGCAAACCCTAAGTTCGCATACAGCCACTGACAGAGCCAAATTTAAAATGCGGTCAGCAAAATTCCTGCATAAGTAACTTCAGTAAATTTAAGAAAAGGACATTGTAGATTAATCTTGTTTATAGAACAGCATGTATCACATAATAGTAATCACATTATTGTTACCACATAATAGTAAGCCATTTTGAATAATGTTAGCTAGACTGCTGGCTGGTGTTTGGTGTTGATTTTGTTTTGGTACAGACCAATTTCATTTTGGACATATTTAAATTGATTGCTAGAACCACATCCTACATGTCTTTTAACTTTAGTCCTTATTCTGCATACACTGGTACACTCTTGGACCCCAAAACCACATATATGCATCAGTGGCTGCGGGGTTTTTATTTTAGCTTTCCAGCAAACACCACCTGCATTCTCAGAGTAATAAGTAGTGATACAAAAAGCTTGCCTTTCTTATTGGAAAAGCATAAAAGCAATGAAGGACTGTTACAGTCTAGCTGTTTGTGTAAATAATCATAGAAATAAGGCTGAAATACACTTTAAGAATTCATTTAATCTATTCTCATGTTGCAAGGCAAGGTCATCTATATCTACAGCCTACTTCCTGACAGATGTTTCTAGGAGTTAGACAAACCTCCAAGGGGTCTGCTTCACCCTCCCTAGATGATTTTTTTCCTTTTTTTTCTGCTGATTATTACATGCATATTTTCCTCATGTCTAATGTTGCTCTCCCTTGCTACATTTCAAACCCGTTATGTGATATAGAAAACAAATTTCCTGCTATTTTTCAGCAGCCCTTTCACTATTTCAGGACAGATATACATTTTCTCAGACCTGCGCTTTCCCTCTTTTTAATTCACGTAAATAGTTTCTTAGATCTCCTGTCTTTGCTAGTGTTCTCGCATCAAAATTCTCTTGTCTTTGCTGATAGACAGCACCCAAAAGTGGGTACCCTGTTCCCATCGGATGTCCTCCATAAAGGGAAGGGTTTACTTCATGCATGTCATGAAATCCGTTCCTCTCTGTCCATTCTGGGTTGATAGCTGCTTTTCTTGCAGACAATTGTTGTGCATTTTCGACCTTGTTCAGCTTGCGATTCCTTCTAGTACCCCACCTTCTCTGTTGCCCTGTAGCCACATACTCCCTGTGCTCTGTTTAGGGAGCTAGTAATTCCCATCTGAGTGCAGGACTTTGTACTTGCTTTTGTTGAGTTGCGTCGTTTTACTCAGGCTGATAGTTGTTGAGATAATTTTGAACTCTATTCCTGTTCTCCAGTGTGCTAATGCTCCTTTCTTAAAAGACACTTTGTATGTCATCATGTTTGTTAGTGAGCAGTACTGGGCACAGGACAGACCGCACGTGTTCCCACTTGATAAATGCTTCTGTTTTCACAGCAAGTGATAGCTAATTAATCTCAATTAACATTTTTAATTGGAGAAAGAAGAAAAAGCATCATTTAATAGTTGAGGCTAATTGGCTGTTGATAGCTTTTCTTCTGGCCAGAAACTTTCCTTAAATCTTGCTCTCACTACTGCAACCTTCCTGCTAAGTCTGCAGCAGCAGCAGCAGCATTGAAGAGGCTCAGCTTGCTCGGATCTGGTCTAACACTTGAGTCTTCAGCCTGAGCCCAGAAGGCAGGGAGAGTTATGCCAGCCAGTCAGGGCCCTCAGTGCACTTCCCGCTTAGAAAACTGTGAAGTCATCAAAGTGGCGTATTTGAATGGTATTATTTTGGCAGAACAGAGAGAAAGAAGAGACAAGAGCATAAAGTCAGTCTCCTCTCCTTGATGCACAAAGACAAGACATTTGCCCTCTTGAAAAAGACTGCAAATGGAGCTGGCTGCTGTTCCTTGTTTGCAGCCACTGCCAGAGTTTTGATGTCTATCACAAATTCTGCTTTAGCCTCCCTGGCCTAGAGGCCTCATCAGACCTTGTTTGGCTACGCAGTGTGGAAACTCTGCTGACTCCTGGCCACTCCATGTTACTGGCTTCTCAGGTGGGAGGTCATGACTAAGCCAGCAATGAGTTGCTCTCATTTGTGATTAGTGATCTGAAAATCAAAAAGTGTATAAACTACAGAGGGTGTAGAAGAGTGTATAAATATAACAGACACCTACACAGAGTGTATGTTCATCAGTCAGTCTTTCTCTCAAAATAGAGGCACTACCTTGCTTTGCCCTAGAGGCCCATCTGCAGTTTCCCAGGGCTCAGGAGATTTCTGAGTTAGCAATCAAACTTTTCTAGGATTTTCAGTTCTTTTTTTTTGTGGTATGGTACACCAAGTAACTTCTCTCATTCCCTTTGTCAGTTCTTTTATAATCTTTAATTTCTTTTCAGTTGTTATTTCTGAGAACATCTTCTTTGCCAAACAGGGTTTACAAACAATCTCAGAACTGTATTCATTATAATCTTATCTGGTGAGTCTGATCAGCCTCACCTAAGATTCAAGCAATTGCATATGCATATATAGCTGTTACCATGTTATGTTCAACTTACCTGTCTGAGCTCATATAAACACTCTTCATAAGCAAGGCTTTCCACTTGAGTTGCTCTTGAAAAGTTTTCTATCATAAGTTGTTTCTGTGATACTTCTGCAATGTAGAACAGTTTAGAAAGAAAGCAGTTATGCAAAATGCATAGAGAAAGTTGCATTTACTTATGTTTTTGTTACTGTAATGAATGGAATGAATATCAATGATACTAAGAAAAGGCATTCTCCTGTTAACTTCTGGGAAGTTCTTCGTAGTATAGAGAGAAATACACATAAACACCTGTCAAATTTCTGTGGCATAATTTTTGTAAGTTTTTTTTTACAGGTAAGCTAAATGGATAAATATGTCTGTACACAAACACTACATGAAAGGGTTTGTTTCATTCCTAGGAAACCTGAATTTCAAACTCATTTTTTGTAAAGCGTTTTCTTCAAGATGAAACATATGTTGAGAAGCCTGGTCTGATCTTTCATTTCCTTTCAGAGTTCACCTTTGAAGAACAAGTAGGAAAAGAGGTTGTTTATAAGATCTTGACTGTGAAGAACAGAAATCTGATTGTTCTCTGAAGGAGGGACAAAGGAGCTGTAATAACATATTAACCGTATATATTGACATACTTAGCATCCTACATCAGTCAGAGGATTGCATTTCAGTTGTACAGCTTATTTGTTGGGTAAAAGTGAGGACACTACCCATTCTTTAATGCATGTGTTCATTGTGAGCAAGCAATAAAAACCTGCATAACTGAAACTTACATTCTCAGCACATAGTTAAGGCAGTAAATTTTTTTTAAAGTCTTTGCCATACTGTGCCTTTAAAAGGTGCAAGAAGAGAAGAAAATGATGCATTGGTGAAGTTATACCGACGCCCTTGTGTGAGATGTACATTACACATTTTAGCTGGCACCCAAGGGGTTAGCATACATATTTCATGACAGAGAAGAATGTGCTCTTTGTGCCTGACTGCATACCCCTGTGCAGGATACCGAAGTGCTTCTTACATAAAGAGTGATGTGGAGCAGTCTTTTACTGGAGTAGAGTTCATCAGAAAGTACACAGAAAGTAAAGATGCTCCCATCCTCTAACACTAGAGTGGAAGTTAGGAGCTGCTGACCGTGTTCGTAGAGCATCAGTCCTTCCTTCAGACGCCTCTGCTGTGACCGTCTGCTGCTCCGAGGGCAGCAGGAAAGAGCAGAGATGCAGCGTTCTGCGATCAGCTGGGAACAGATGCCACGGAAAAATGGAATAATCATAAAATGGATGATCTAGGGTGATAAGGAAGGCTGTTTATTGAGGTTTATTTCTTAGGCAGCACAGTAATAGTCAGTGTTGACAAAATCAGCAGTATTATGGCAAGATTTGTACCAACTGTCAGATAGGCAGTGTTCTAAATAAGAGTATTGTTTTTAGAAGCAAAAAGCCAAACTTCAAAGACAAGTTAGAAAGAGGAATAAACTGGCTTTTCTTGCCTTCAGGAAGATCTGTCTTAGAGCTAGGCCTATGCCTGCTCAGCTACTGGGAAAGAGTTTTTTTTTTTTTTTTTTTTTTAAGAAAAGCAGTAGGGAGAGTTAGAGTAGGTATGGAGGCTATAGTCTGATACTGTCTAGTTTAATACTTCTGCCCTCTAGTAAATTCTGCAAAGCCCAAGTAACTCATCTTAATCTTCTTTCACTGTGGAGTGACCTAAGTAGCATACCTCACGTTCTGGTGGACTTAGAGTATGTATACTGACAGTCATTTAGGTTCAGATTCACCTGAGAAACCATTAAGCACAGTAATTCCATACTTTGGTAAGCACTAACGCTTTGCTGCAGACTTAGCTGTCTGCATGGAGATTATTTCCATCACATTATCAAATTTAAATCACTGAGGTGACATCCATCATGGGCCAGAAACTTGAATGAAAACGCGTCTTCTCATTTCAATGTGAATATTTTGCTGTCAATAAGACTTGAGCCAGGGGCAAACTTGACAGTTATGAGGAGTTAACTTGAGCTGTACTTGAATTAACTCTAGTAAATCCAGGACTAGTATTACATGAGCCTTTTTGACTTTTGATCTGACCGATGGCACCACAGCCTCAAATGTGCAACTCAAAGGCAAAAGAAATACATCATTACTATCTCATATGCAACTCACGTAATAGGATAGCAAATCTGTTCCATTTTAAAGATGATAACTTTTGGTACATGTGGAGGGTAGATGAAAAAAGGACAGTAATATTTCCCTATCTTCATTTTGTCCCATTGCTCATTTCTTTAGCATGATAAGTATGCATTGCATACTTTGTCTTGGCTGCTTCTTCCTTCGGTTTATTACAGGAGGAGCTCATATGAATTCTATATATAGATTGCTTCAAAATTTCCATTATAATAGCTCTTCTGAACTCTTTAGAGAAATGCTGACACTATTATTATCGTGTCCATGATGTGTCTTTGGATTCTGGCAAGCAGAAAGCCTTGAGGTTAGAGAAATGCCTTTTCTTTGTTCCCCCAAAAGCCACTCAGCTATAAGCTGTTACATCTCTATTACTCTTTGTTGTTCACATTGCTTCAGAAATTTCTGGCATCAGGAAAAATAACACGAAAGAACACAGGAACATTCAAAGGGCTTGTCTGCACTTGGAAATTGCAGCAAAGTGGCAAAGTGTGACTTTGAAGTTTGATATTTTGAACTAAGTTCCTAAGTACACTTAGCTTTTATACGAAGGTTAACAGAGATGCAGTTGTAGGGCACTAACGAGGAGCAGGTGTTGCTGTATGGTTGTTATCTATTGGCTATTTCAGAGTTTTCTCTCTTAAAGACAAGCTCTAAGGCTGAACCACAGGAACTCCCAAGTGCCCGTGGTACCGGGCAGGAAACACAGTCCAGTCTCCTCACTCCCCTTTGCTGGGTATATGGCACAACATCCTTCCCTTTGGCAGTACAGAAACACAAGGCAAATGACTTTTGTGAAGAATTCAGTTTCCTGTTCATGATTTGCACCCTGTGCACTCCCACATGAACTCTGGGTTGACACCCTTCCCTCACTCATAGTGGCCATGCCATTGTCCTTCGTGTGCTAGCTGCAACTATGCCACAGTAATGACAGTTTGGTGTATAAAAACTGCAGAGAAAATCTTGTCTTTCTGTTTAAAACTGAGTTCTAGTTAAATAGCAGCCTAGAAGATGGCAAGCAAAATTAATAAAATCCTCAACGGTTTTTATTAAGGTTTTACATGCTTGCTCTTGCACACCAGGAAGCCACACATTTACAATTGCCTGTACAGCCCTGATTCGCTTTCCCTAAATATGCTTTATGTTATAGTCTTTTATCATACAGACTGTGTTACCATTCTGCAAGTGCTTGATTTAGTGCAAGCATGAGTGCAGACAGGAGCAGAAGTAATGTTGCACAGTCAGCTGTAAGTTTTGTACTTCCTTATCTTTGAGTGCTTTACTTTGGTCTGCTTACACTTAAAATCAATTTTGGTGGGCAAAATCACTTTTACTGAAACAACTTCATTGGCAAAAATAACAGTATTGGTAGAGGTACGCTAATGTAATGTTCCTCTCTTCACATAAAAATAATGAGAACGGTATAAATAATTTTTCTATCTCCTGCCTCATGGAGAGAACTAAAGTCTACTGCCCATCTTCTTGTCCTTTTTGCTATCAGTCAGAAACTTGAAGAGCTCAATAGGCTGAACTCACAAAGAAGAACCCTAAGTACAGTGTATTTGTACCTTCTGGAGGAGAAAGAACTGACTACCAAAGAACTATTTAGTCTACTAGTGAGAAGGTAGAGTCAACATGTCAGAAAGCTGAAGTCAGATTAAGATTAGAAAGTAGGCATTCATTTTTAACATACAGAATTATTTTAATAATTGTAACAGATTAGTGAGAGAAATGGTAGATTCTGAATGTCTAGATATCCTCAGGTTAAGCCTAGATGTCTGTGTGAAAGGTGAACTCAATTCCAATCAAAGTGATTGAGTTCAAAGCAAGGGATAATTGGGGAAATTTAATGACTTGTGATTAGGATCAGACTAAATAATCTAGTGATTCTTTCTGATTTTAAGAGCTCTGTGAAACCTTACTGTTCTCTGGATGCAATTTATACAATACTTTTAAAAATAGAAATTTAACCATCCATTTTCTAGCCTGGGAGCAAGATGACATTTCTTGGCATCCATTACTTGCACTTCAAGCTTTTAAAAGCACTCTTCTTTGATTCCATGTCTCACAGCGCACCTGAGGGATGCCCAAATAGCCTGTCTATGCATATATTGTTGTTGCTGAAGTGCGTTCACTGTCCTGACTCACGGCACTCAGCATGGGAAATGAACACAGGTCCCAGAGATCATAATTTGTTGAATTAAAACAGATGAAGCTAAAGCTATCTGACCATAGTATATTCAAGCATTACTTTCTCACTGATATTCTGGTTCAAGAATTTTGTTAAACTAATGTTTTAAAAAACTTAAGTACTTTAACAATTAATTTTGAACTTTGAACGCCAGAATAAAAAGTCTGTTCTGCACATTTAAGTTAGAAAAAGCAAGCTTTTGCCTAACTTTGATCCATTGGACTGTTAACAATTTCAAATCCTGCACTTTCGTTGCCTAAACATAGCCAAATTTCTCTCAGTTAGTGAGCTGGACATCGAATTCAGGCTCTGCTTACCAGTGTGCTGTTCACTCATGAAACTCAGTTCTGTCTTTGACTGTGGGCCCAAACTTTCATTTTCTGGAAATCACTCATTTAAAAGCAAACCATCTGTGCCACAACAGTGACACCGCTCAGAAGAGCACAAACACTGTAATGCAGTAACGTAAAGAAAAAATGGATAGTGAAGATGCAAAGGCATTGCTTGTTTTTAAGTGGAATAGAAGAGGTAGGTCAGCAGTATCAGAGAAGGTACCTTTGATCCAGATCTTGAGCAACAGTAAATGAAAAGAAAAGCAAAATAAACCAGATATCTGAGGAGTTAAAGGTAAGGACCCATGCTAACTTCATAAAATTACAATTGTTATTATGCTATTTATATAGTAACTCATTGTGGTAATTCTTATGAATAGTCACAGCTAAATAAATACATGATTTCAAGTTTTCTTGCATTGTGTTATGTAACGAAACATTTTTTCCACGTATTGATGGATTTATTTTGGCATTCACTAATCTGCAGTGAACTTCCAGTTCAAGAGCTCTTTAATGAAACTCTGGATATGGTGACTGAGTGTTACACGTTTTGATACCTTCCTTCCATTCAATTTAGAGTCTTCATGATAGAATTTTTCAGCGCAGCGTTTAATTTTTTTCAAGCTTGTTTGTTACGCTTATGCTGCATTGTAATGCACAAAAGTAATACAGGTTGATAATTTAAGTAACTTTTTATGAATTGCACCTGCACTGTGTTTTTTTTTTCCGGCACAGGACGCTACCCAAAACTAGTGTTTCACTTCGAACTCAAGAGAAACATCTTGTATTTCATACTAGAGACATATGTACCATCAATCCTACTGGTTGTGCTCTCCTGGGTATCGTTTTGGATAAGCCAGTCATCGGTTCCAGCCAGAATCTGCATAGGTGAGAAGCCAGTAAACCAAACCAAATCAAGAGCTGGATCATTAAGGTGCTTGCTTTATTGGATGTACATGACATCCATTTCCAAAAGTTGCAAACACTTCTGAATTTTGTGGAATTACTTTTCTGGTTTGCCATCTGTAGTACATCATGCGGATTCCTCTTAAAGCTTTGCTATTCTTTAACTAAGAATATGTCTTTGGGAGCTACAGGAGACTTGAGACAGGGGAATCTGATGAAATCAAAGGAAAAAACAGTCATTTTGGAAATAATTTCAACATATCCAAACACATGGCATGCACAGGCAGAATTGTGAGGCTTTTGTGAGGTCTAATGATACATACTAATTAACACATGAATAATAAGAGAATTATAAGAGATTAAATATAATTAATTTCAAATAAAGGACACTCTGAAAGGGAAAGAATGCAAATCGATTCTGATCAGGCTGCGGGTGGGGTGGGAAAAACATTCCTACAGAATAGGGAAGAGAGAAAGATTTCACATCAAATGAGGCCAGTGGGCAACCGCACTGAGCAAAATGATACCTGAATGTTTTAAAGGGAATATTTACATAGTATTGCAATAATAATGTGTTAATCATAGATATACATTCTGTGACACCAAAATCTCTCTCATTTTAATTCCCATTCTTCTCAGCTATACAAACATTTTTCATGAATGTTTTCAAGCATTTAACATCAGAATCACAAGTTCATTTGCAAGTCTCCTTTCCAAAATGTGACACATTCAATGCTGTGGCGTACTAGGAGTTCACAGAGCCAGGAAAAACTGTCTTGTAGCAGGGCCATTGCACTAGAGGCCCTCATCACTATCAATGTTTTATCAGAACTTAGATTTTTGCATTCTACAGGTGTTACCACAGTCCTTACTATGACAACACTGATGATGGGAGCCAGGACTTCACTCCCCAATGCTAATTGCTTTATTAAGGCAATTGATGTTTACCTCGGTATCTGCTTCAGTTTCATCTTTGGAGCACTGCTAGAGTATGCTGTGGCTCATTTCTGCACTCTGCATCGACTCAGTTCAAAGGAACTTCAAAAGGTATTTTAATTCTTTGATTGTTGTCCTGAAAAATAGACTTCAATTATACCTGCTAAAGAGAATGAATTATCTTAGCACTAATAGTAAATGTATTTAAGGAAGTTTCTATTTTACAATAAGGACAGTGAAACCAGAATAACCTTGAGAAAAAATTATTTGTATACCTGGAACTTTTTGGAAGAGATCAAATAAACAGAAGCACCCTTCCATAATGATTCTCTGTTTTGGAATGGACTTTATGGCCAGTTATCAAACAATGTGCTAGACATACCACAAAAATCATATGCACTTGTCTTCTCTCCAGCAATGGCCTACACTTTATAGTTCAAAAATTAGACTGAGCTCGGTGAGTTGATCTTCACAGAATCACAGAATGTTCGGGGTTGGAAGGGACCTCTGTGGGCCATCTAGTCCAACCCCCCTACTCCACAACCTCCCTGGGCAGCCTGTTCCAGTGCTCCGTCACCCTCAGAGGGAAGAAGTTCTTCCTCATGTTCAGACGGAACTTCCTGTGCTTCAGTTTGTGCCCATTGCCCCTTGTCCTGTCACTGGGCACCACTGAAAAGAGCTTGGCCCCATCCTCCTGACACCCACCCTTCAGATATTTGTAGGCATTTATAAGGTCCCCTCGCAGCCTTCTCTTCTTCAGGCTGAACAAGCCCAGTTCCCTCAACCTCTCCTCGTAGGGGAGATGCTCCAGTCCCCTCACCATCCTCATAGCCCTCCGCTGGACTCTCTCCCGTAGCTCCTCATCTTTCTTGAAGTTGGGAGCCCAGAACTGGACACAGTTGGGCCAGATGAGGCCTCACTAGGGCAGTGTAGAGGGGAAGGAGAACCTCCCTTAACCTGCTGGCCACACTCCTCCTAATGCACCCCAGGATACCACTGGTCTTGGCAGCCAGGGCACACTGCTGGCTCATGGTCAACCTGTCGTCCACCAGCACTTCCAGGCCCCTCTCCACAGAGCTGCTCTCCAGCAGGTCCGCCCCAAGCCTGTACTGGTGCATGGGGTTGTTCCTCCCCAGGTGCAGGACCCTGCACTTGCCCTTGTTGAACCTCATCAGGTTCCTCTCTGCCCAACTTTCCAGCCTATCCAGGTCTCGCTGAATGGCAGCACAGCCTTCTGGTGTATCCACCACTCCTCCTAGTTTTGCGTTGTCAGCAAACTTGCTGAGGGTACACTCTTAACTCTTCATCCAGGTCATTGATGAAGAAGTTAAACAAGGCTGGGCCCAGTACTGATCCCTGGGGGACACCACTAGTTACCGGCCTCCAACTAGACTCAGCGCCGCTGATGACAACCCTCTGAGTTCAGCCATTCAGCCAGTTCTCAATCCACCTCACTGACCTTGTTGCAGTACAGCAAAAAAGAAAAGATTTTATCACATTCTGTTTATGAAACCTTCTGCACATGCATGGTACTTCAGTCAGTTTAACTAGCAGACAGCTTCATGTATTAGGTGTATCAGATCCCTATAGCCTGCCACTTACACCTTCTCTTTCAACAGCTGCAGCCGAACCTCAGACTGGGATTCACTTTCTCTTCTGCATCATTATTACAGCAGCACTTTTTGCTGCTCTAATGAGCTTCTTACAACTCTTAAATACTGTGAAATATACTTAAAATAAAAAGGGATCAAATCAACATAGGCATTTTTTGAGTCTGGTGGTTGTCATCTTGCTGAAATAATCAAGACAGGTTAATGAAGAAGTTTTGTCACATCTTCTATCTCCAGTGTTTAGCACTGCTTTCATAAGCATCGAGAAAGAAATCACAAGGAAGTTGGGAGCTGATTGTCTTGCGGCTTTTAATTATGGAACTGAATCACATATGCATGATAGAAAAGAACATTTTAAGCAGCTTATGAAATTGCTGGACAAATAGAAAAAAGTAAAACACGGAAAGTGAGAATAACAGAAAATAAAGCAGGAAGATGTTGGGTTGAGTGCTGTAGGGATAAACGTCCAGAATAAGAAAGTTTGTTAACTGTTCAAGCCAAACCAGAACAGAGCATCACAAATGCTGAAGCAGGCTGAAGAGACAGGATATTGAGTTCAAATGGAGAAGCTTAAAAATGATGAAGATCAGCCAAGATGTGGGGTATTTTATGCCTATGTAGTTCAACAGTTAATGTGGGATTTTGGCGGTTTGGATGAGAGGGAGGCTCTGTAAACGCACAGGAATGTGTTCAAAGCTGTCATTAGATCTAGGTGTGTGGAGAAGGACTGAAAAATGAACACAGAGATGAGCCACCCAGTGGATTTTAAAAGACAACATGTAATGAGGGAATGTCTGCAAATGGGCAAACCCTCATTTTGAATGAGGATTTGAATGAGGAAAGCCTGAAAGTAATTTTTCTGGGCAAGATAGCATCAGTGACAATTCCCTCTGAGCATATCCATCTTGTGGAGTAAGTGGTTGTCATTTTGCTTGTAGAGCAGAAATAAAAAAAAAAAAAGCTTATTGGAGGTTTAGGTAAGAAAATAAAGTGTTTCAGTGCTTGGATGATTAAGCATCTTTGGATCTGTGAAGGGCGCTTAAGACTGCCCTTGCCTTTGCTTACCTGTGTCAGATTCCCTTTCATCTGGGCCACCTGTACTAGTGCTTGCAGGTGGGACAGACATGGGAACTCAAGGACTTGAAAGACGTGGAGTAAGTGAAGGTACAGTCCTAAAATGAGAAAGGAAGAAAGACTTCAGGTACAGTTTTGTGATGGACTTCGTGACTGAAAGGATGGTCTGTCACTTCAGGCATGTTCCTGCTTTTTGCTGTGCATCAGGAGTGAGCAAGCCAGTCCAAATTACTTCTTGCCCACACATACACAAACATTTAAGGGAAGGGGCAGTTGGCTGGTCCTAGATCAGCTCAAGACCCAGTAGAACAAGGAAAATGCATGTCATGTCCTTTTCCTACTATGGCCAAGGACAAGTACCACCTACTGAGCAGGGTGCCATGGAGAGCACACCTGACTTGTATTTCTCATTTCTCACTGTAAAAACCAAAACATCACAAGGACAGAAGTAGCAGCTAAAATCTCATGTCACTGTCTAGCGGCTACTTAACAAATTTATGTGTGAGTATTGTCACCATAAAGGTGTTCTCATTATCGTATTCTCTTGTGGACACAGATTAATTAGAAATCTCACTTTCCAGTTTGTTATTCCCATGTGAGAGCTGATACAAAATTTGCACTCAGAATTATGTAAATAAATGTAGGAGGTGAATTGAAAATGTAACCCCCTGCCTTGTATAGGAATTAGTTGTACCGGTGTGCTTTCTGGTTTGCTTTTTAAGGCAGTTGGGCACTGGCATGTCATGTTCTTCTGAAGCCTTTGGGGTCTCCAGTTCAGAATATAAACTGGTAAAAGAGCTCATCGTATCCACACTCTTGCAGTGTCTCACATCATGAGAGCCAGGACCCACAGAGACAGCTTCAAAACTAATGGCGAAAGCAGAGGAACCACCTGCTGCAAGGAGGGTCAGGCAAAATATGACATTCATGTCAACTGCATAACAGACTGCCTAAATGGAGAAGTTTCCTCTCCAAAATTCCGAGTTTCTTCTCTTTTATACAAAGGTGTGAATTGTGCTCTCCTATAAAACAGAGAAGTTCTCCTTGGCCTTCATCTGTCTTTCACTTAAACCTCTCCCTTTTGGTCAGAAAGGAGGAAAGTCTGAAAACTGAAACTAAGGTTACAAGGGCAGTGTTCAGGCTACGTGGCATTTCTGTGCAAGCATTGTGCAGTCTTTCTGAACATCGTGTAAGCTCCAGGTGTGCAGCACTCTAGGCTGAAATATTTTTGATCTTGAGTATCTTTGTTTTTCAGTGGAAGTAATAACTTTCCTCAATTCTGTTGCCTGTTAGATGTCAGCAAACGCTTCAGTTAGTATCAACAGCAGCAGGTGCCATATACAGTGCTTTTCAGGTTTTGTACAGTACCTTTCCTGAGTGCTACCGTTTTTGTGTCCAAACAGAGCCCTTCGTGCCAGTTGCCATTTTCTCACTGACAGCTGGAATCTGGAGAAAACTTAGTCCACAGCTGAACACTTGCAACACAATTTTTTTTTTGTATAATGTGAAGCTTAATCTTTCATCACATTCGGTTCTGCGTAGCGAATTGGATAAGTTCCTTGATAATCCCAGTGTAGAAGACTGTAATTTTTTGTAAACTAGCAGCTGTAGTTCTCCTCTAGCTTTCTCCTTCTCAAGAAGCATGATACAGCACTTCTGCTGTAAACTCGTCTCTGTTCTGCGAGAGCCCTGCCTTGTAACACTGCAAACAGAATCAAGTACATGTGCACCATGTATGGTATTTTCTGCGTAAGTAATAACTGCCTCTTGGGGAGTAGAAAGGAGTTAAGAAAAGCCTGATAAAGCATCAGCCTCCAGCGAATTGTTCATGTGTGGTTGTGTGAAAAGAAAAATGGCACGTACGCAATGTCCTTTCATTCTCTGCAGTAAAATGAACTCTGCACAGCTTTTAGCCAGCCCTACCTGAGAGACAAATAGACTCTTACACTGAAGAATGCCCCAAATGCTGCCAGTTTTGAGGCATAGATGTTGTTTTGCTCTTTTTTCCCTTTCTAAAAAATGAGCACAGCGGAAGAAAGTCAGGACTCTTCTGACAGGTTTCTTTATTTTATTAACTTTTGAAGTGCTGAGTGCATTCATTAGGCTGTCGCTCCGGTGCCTCGTTTCAAGTGCCAGGCGCTGCTGACAAAGGCTCCTCTGCCATCCCCAGAGCGTCCCTCAGCTGCTGGAACTTTTTGAAGCAGAAAAGCTGGGTATTTATAACAGACTTAGGCCCCAAGGAAAACTTTGAGTTTTAGTACTACCCTGGGGATTGTTTAAGGTTCAGACTGGAATTTTATGAAGTGATCCTCTTAATGCTTTATAGGCAGAATTTTATCCTGGCCTTTGGTTTCAGAATTCTCACGTAGCTGCAGGAGGCTAGGTGGAGGATGAACAAGGTCTTGTAGTCTGTATTTTTAGGATGACACCTTTTGTTGAGCTGCATTTATCTTTCTGAAGTAAAATATACTGGATTTTTTTTGGCAAATTGAAAATGAGAAGCAGTAATAATCCCTTTTTCTAGCTCCATCTGTTCTGCTTCACTGCTTCACAGCAGTCTGAGGACACTGTCCAGGCTCCACTTTAATTTTCAAGGACGTTACTATTTTAGCTGAAGAAAGGCTCAAAACTGTGCTGTCTACAAATATCCTGGGCAGAAGAGCAATTCTGCACCGGCATGGAGATCACCCAGGTGGCTTAATGAGCTTTTTTTGACTTTAATAGATGGCATATTTCTAAATGAGCTTTTTGCGTGGCTACGCATAGGGCTGTACATCTTAACTTTTCTAGTTTGTCCTTGGCTAATTTATTTGTTCTCGTAATGCAAACGGAAAAAACAAATTGTTCAGAGGAAAGGGATTCTGCATTCTACATTTCACAAATAAATTTTTAGCCTTCTCTTGCTTGTATGCCACTCGCTGATTTCCAAGGTAATAAAATAATCAGGAGAAAATTCCTGCCTGAATTAAAATGACCCCTCCTCCACTTACACAAATTTAGGTTTATTTTAGGTACAAAGTTGGAGCCAATCTTTGTAGCTTGGATCTGATGGTATCTCTGCAATATCCCAAATGAAAACAAATACCCTAGAACTTTCAAGAAAGTTTGTGTTTAGAGCTGAAGCTGCAGCTAATGTCTAATCCTGTGTCCTCTGAGTCAGTGACAAAAAACCCACTGACTTCAAAGGGTGAAGATTTCATACATGAACTTCATGGCTCTGAGCCATTGCTAATCAAAGAAACAAAAACGCACCATAAGGCTTATACAACATTCTCCGAAGAGTTCTCTTGATGCAGTGAAGCACATAAAAATGTGCTGAACCTTCGCATAACTTTGAACTTAAAGCATGGGTTTCAGGACTTGAAAGAAAAAAGTATGAGGTATTTAGTATTGAATTAGTTGTGGGACTTGTCCCTTTTTATGATCCTCTTTTTCTTTTTAAGTAATTTGATTTTCATCACAAAGCACTGAAAATAGAGTGGCCAACTGCACAGAAGGAAAATGTACCATATTCCGGGGTGCTGGATTCTGTTGCAACCAGCTTGATCAGCTGGTCTGGCAGCTTCCCCACCTTCTCCGTCTCCAGACTGCGGCTTTGCTTTGCCTCCTTGCTAGACACTGACCTTTACCCGTATTTTCCCTGAGCAGAAGACAGATTATTGTGCATTTCATGGATTTGCTGCTGTCTTAAGTAAAGCTCAGTCGGCCATATTTGAACAAATCCAGCTTTGCTTAACAGTCTGATGAAAGCTCCCCTGTAAACGGAGGCTTTGGAAGCTGAAAGGAGATGTCTGGTACGTGTAGGTGCTCGCCCTTCAAATCAAGGAATGAGCTACCGGATGAGTCGTAAGAAAAATCCTGTTATTTGCTGCAGCTCTAAAGTGAATAGGCAATGAAACATGCACTTAGATACCTGCTGGTTTTTTTCCTATCAGGATAAGGATGAAGAGGCTGAAGAAGGGAGGAATGGAGTCCTGGCAGCAGTCGCTAACAGTTGCACTGCCCCTGACAATATGAACAAGATCGATTCAGACAAGAGCAGCAAAACCAGCATTGACGGAAAAAGGGAGAGAAGTAAACACGATGGGTGTACTTCACCAATGTCAGTAATGAAAAGACTTTTCTGTATCTTTGATTGCTTCCATGTTAAAAATCCTTACCACATAGACAACTATGCCAGATTTTCTTTCCCTTTATCATTCATCATAATTAATGTATTTTATTGGGTATATTATTTGTATTTCTAAATATTTTAATGTGTAAAATTGGTTTAAAATTTAGGAATTGGATATTGGGGGGAAGTTGCAGAAGAATGAAGAAGTTGCATTTGGATAAAGGGATATGAAAGGACATGCCATCTTTTCAAGTATTTCTACAAAGTTTCTTGTTAACTTACTTTTCCACTGTTAAATGACTGTCACCCAAAACTGACTTTCCTATTAGCATGCATGTCCCATATTAAACTATTTATCGACGGCCAAGAAGTCCTTTTTTAATATTTTAATGGTCAATGTTGCAAAATAAGGGTTATATTACACTTGTTTCTGAACTGCATTGAATACATTTAAAAATAAAAACAAGGAAGTGGTGTTTCCCTGCTATGCTTCAGTATTCATTTCCTTCTAGCTTTGTCAATAATGCATACATTTTACAGATTATAGAAGAAAATGTATAATTGCAGATCAGAGTGATTTTGCTTCCTAGCAAGAAACAGCTTTGAAGGCATGGGCTATCAACACAAACCAAACAGTATATTCATCTTTGTAAGGTCGCAAATGTATCAAGACTCTTGCTTACATCTTAGGCAGAACTCCCATAGGCATCAATGGCTTTTCTGAATAAGTACAGGGCAGAATATAGAAGTGGGCTGAAGCCAAAACATTTAGATCCAGAGAGATATCTTTCCCAATTGAGAACACACTTAGGTGTTGGCCAATCCTTAATGGAATATGGCCATTTATCCTGATGTTTATACTCTGTACTCTGCTTAGTCACAACTGCCTGGGTAACTATTATGCAGAGGAAAAATTTGGTATGCTTAATTTTCAGCTTAGCAAATTTCTCTTGAGTCATTTGCCATTAAAAATTTCACATACAGATGAACAAGCTTACTTCCTGAAGTGAAAAGAAAACCCTGGATATGCAAGAAGTCTTGAAGAAAAAAGAGAAAGTTTTACACAGATGAAATTATGACCCACAGGAGAGAATGGTTACACTTGATGAAAAACCGTAACAGTTTTGCTGAGTGGATGCTTCACTGCAAAAGTTATTGATGCGACAACCTGTTTCTTATACTGCAGTCTGGAAGTTTAGAAGCACTTATTATACCTTTTTCCTGACCATAATATGTGTGTGGGTTGCATATATATGAATAAATGGGTAGATGTGATTATTATAGACTCTGTACCTTGACATTTACGATGATCTGATACACTGCACATATAGAAATGCATTAAAAAGCCCCCACAATATTGAGACTCTTTGATACACCTGTCTACCTGTGTACTGCCTGGGAAGAAAACCATTACACGAGACGATGGAAAGTGCAAAATACCAGCGTGGGTTAGATTTGCCCCTGCTCACAACGAAATGCGAAAAAATCATTGCACACCTGTAAACAAGTATTAGGTCCACAAAATCCCTCAGTATTTTTATTTTCTAAATGGGTTGAGTACTGAAAGCTTGTTTCTCTACTGTTATCACTAATGCCTTTTGCAAGGCTTATTGAGGCAATGCGGCTCCAAGAACAGCCTAGTGGCTTTTGGTAACTTATGGCTCTTCTGACATTCATATAAAAGCAAATGCATTCAAGAAATCAAACCAAGAGTGCCTGTGTTAAAGACAAGCCAAAAATACTATATTTTTAATTTAATGTTCTACTGTTGCAGTTTTAACCTTAAACTCTTTATTCAGGAACAGGTTCTATGAGATTTTTTCCTGTGAGGTGTGGAACTGGACACTCAGATGTCTTTCCAGTTCTTACTCCCATAAAATTCATGGAAGCCATATGGTAAAGCTCTTATTTAGTTTCTTATGTTTGCATTAATCCTGAATATTTTCAAATAGTTATCCACACATTGCAAGTTACCTGTTGTGTTAACACTAAATTTGGGATTTACATTTACTACAAGCATAAAATAAGCATTTAGAGTTTTGTAGCTTCCAATTAACTTGAAGGTAATTCACCTTAAATATTCTTTTAGAAAGCTGTTGAAGGTCTGGACAACTTTATTTACAGGGCATTAACTGATAACAGGGTCTGTTTTCCCACTGATGTGCTAATCATAAACAGAGTTAGACACTGAATTCCCCCATGTTATCAGGAAAGAATAGACTGCACAGCCAGATTATTTATTATTCTGCTTTGCATAATTCTGCGTTAATTACTAATTTGAAAAACAACACTTGGTTTGACATGAATTTGTGTAAGTAAAAGATGTTCCCTCCGGGGGACAGAGGAACAGATTTTCAGTGCGGTGTATGAAGAATGAACAGCATTTAAATGATCCCATTCAAACATACAAAACTGTCCCCAGAAATGATCAAATTCCTTGGGGTTAGCTGGAAAGGCTCATCTAAATAAGTGACATTCACGAACAATGCATTGAAGGCTAAAACGCAGAGGTAAATTAGAGATGGGGAAGTCTCTTATAGAGCTAAGAAGGGGGGCCACAGTTGAGGCTGAGGCACTCAAAGCGAGCCTCGGCAATGAAAATGGCTTTGTTTTCATACCCGGTGAATAGGAAAGGGGAAAGACCTTGGACTTTCTGCAACGATTTTCTGGTTGGTAGTTGTCTTTGCTTTCCTTACTGTGATTTTAATGTTTTCTAATCAGAGGCCTTCTCAGACTCGTAATTCAGAAATGTCCTGCCGTATTTTGAGGCCACTGGAGACAGATGTACAAATAAGGACACGAGGTAGGTGAAGGAGGTAGTGGCACGAACGGATGATGCACTTTCATGTAATTTACTTTGCTGTTAGCAGGAGGTGTACCATTTGACATAACAAGGCAGCAGCTGGACCAAAGAAT